TGGTGGTTGCTAGAGCTCAGTAGGGAGGCCAGGCTGGGAACGAACAAGTTAGCTGGGTAGACAAGACATCAAATTGCCTGTTTTTTTGGGTTTTGCTGCCTCAACGTGAGAATCTTGGAGGAGACGGGAGAGATGAGATAGCAAGTAAAAAAAATCAGGTTCTGGTGACCAAAGATTCCTTTTAAAATAATCTTAGGAGCATTATTGGTCTTTTGGCTGTCATTATTAAAGAAATGTGAGTATGGCTGGGTTTTGCTTGTTGCTTACACCAATATCTATGATTGCTGTCAACCAGTTCTGAGTCCAGCACGTCTGATGGACGTCCTCATGTATACTGCTTATCAGAAGGGGGGCAACCTTGAATCTCCTTAAAGGAAAGAGAAAGTATCTGACACCAGATAGCTCAGCAGTGCACAGGATGTCCATAAATGTTTGTTGCTCGGTTGATCCCATTCTTTTATGCAACTTCAGGAGCAGTAGATTTTAAGACATAATATATGATGAGCTCTTGCTGAATATTCAGCTAAGATTACTTTTGTTCGCTTTTGCAAGAAGGATTCCTGATGGCTGAACTTGACGTAACTGCTGAGATGGACCAAGGAGAAGAACAAGATCCCGAGGCCTTGGAGGAGACATACATGGGTGAGGAATACTTACAGATGAGTTTATAAACACAGAACAAGCAAAATGCTCTTTGAGCTGCCTCGGTGTTATTTAAGCCACTTTATTTCACGCAGCTCATATTGAGACCTGCTCTTTCTGCCTCAGGGCAGGCAGACAGCCTACCTTTGTCAGCCTGCTGTTAAGAGTATGTATGAGAAGACAGAATGTTGAGAAGATGAAACGTGAAGATTTCCTGGGGGCAAGGAGACACCTGTAACACTGCCCTTGGCTCTGCTGTTCGTGGCACACCTGCTCTGGGTTGTGTGATGAGGCCTTACAGCCTTTCCAGCAGCTAGGTTTCCATTTGCTCCCAGTCCTTCCCTTTGCTGCTTCTTGTGCACGGTGCAGACCAGGCTCCCTAGGATAGCAGCTTGCCTGTTCTCTGCTGTGCCGCTTCCCAACGAGAATCACAGTTAGTGTGATACGTTTTTTCCAGGTGGTGGGCTAGGTCCCCTCCCAGATCACCTTGCAAGCACAGATCTGCAGGACGTATTGGCAGCGGGGTCCAGAGGGGGAGAGGAACAGTTTGGGGACAGCTATGGAAGTCAGCACGGTTCCTCAGAGGCCCAGCGAGGTGACTGTGAGGAGGAAGAGGAAGCTAAGATGCCTTGCTCTGGTATCAGCCTGGTGAGAAGGGTGGCAGCAGCCACACGGCGAGTCCCTCGTGCAGAGCGGCCCACCATCTGCTCTGAGTGTGGCAAGGGCTTCAGTCGGAGCATCCACCTCGTCCAGCACCAGCGAATGCACACCGGGGAGCGCCCGTTCCTCTGCGGGGATTGCGGCAAGGGCTTCAGTCAGAGCTCTCATCTCATCCAGCACCAGCGGATCCACACAGGCCAGAAACCTTACACCTGTGCCGAGTGCGGAAAGAGCTTCAGCCAGAGCTCCAACCTCCTCAAGCACCGGCGCATCCACACCGGGCTCAAACCCTACGTGTGCAGCGAGTGCGGGAAGATCTTCAGCGACAGCTCCACCTGCATCAAACACCAGCGTATGCACACGGGCGAGCGGCCCTACAAGTGCCCAGCCTGCGGGAAAAGCTTCAGCCAACACTCCCACCTCCTCCAGCACCAGCGAGCCCACGACGGCATCCGGCCTTATGCCTGCGGGCAGTGCGGCAAACGTTTTGGGCAGAGCTCTGACCTCATTAACCACGCTCGTACCCACACCGGGGAGAAGCCTTACAAATGCAGCCAGTGCGGCCGGGGCTTCAGCGGCAACTCCAACCTCATCAAGCATACCCGCATCCACACTGGGGAGCAGCCATACCACTGCCCCCAGTGCGGGGAAAGCTTTCGGTTCCAGCCCCAGCTGGTGCGCCACCAGAAGCACCATGCGGAGTAGCCGGTGGAGAGGAGGAGGCCATGCGGACCAGAGGCAGCTAGCTGGTGTTGGGAGGATGCGCAGCTGCTCCCTGGACACGTCCTGTGGGGCGTGAATTTGGGGGGAGGGAGCCCTCGGAGCCTGTCCTCTTCTGGATAGGTCTGTGAGTGCTGCCTGACGTTCGAGCGAAGAGGGAGGCTGCTGCCGAACAAACTGGTGCACGTTCACCGCGGTGCAGTGGTGGTTCTGAGCCCCTCTTGGGCACGGGGAAAAGAAAGGTGCTTACACGGTGCGGTACATTCAAGGCCAGAGAGAAGAGAAGATAGAGATGTTCCAAGGATCAGTGCCTTTTAGTTCTAGTGGGGAGTGATTGTTATCCCAGTAAAAACCAGCTAAAATCCGTTTTCTCTACAAGCTGCCGGGGTTTTCCCTTGCAGTAAGGCCACAGCCTGGGATGATTGCTCCCCTTAAAATCCACATCTCCCACTTGCTGGTATTCTTGAGTTTAGGTGGTGTTAGCATCTATTTATTTTAAAAGCCCACAACACTGCTGGGTGCCTCTGCCCACATGCTGTGGGCCCAGCTGATGCTGGGCTGGGGCCACATCTATGGAACGGGGTTTTCCCTGGCTCATATGGTTGTAAAATTGACAGTTGCACAAACGACGCTGCTGTCTGACAGCTTACTCCTCAGCAGCAATTAAGTAAATTAACTTCCTAATGGGTATTTCTCTCAGATTCTTGTTTAGGTGCTTTCGTGGGTGGCACTTTATGAATGTTTTTGTAAGGCTTTTAAAAGTGTTTAGGATGACTTTTTTAATTGTGATCTTCTAATTGTCAGTTGATGAACAGAAAAAAAGGATGACGTTTGAAAAATAAGCTATGTCAAACTTTGATTTTATATTAAATGTTGAACATTTTTAACTCAAACGCTCTGGTTTTGAGTTGTTAATGATTACGAAGAGGTAATTACGACACTGACTTCTAGAATTTCTGTGATATTTTTGCAAACGGTTTTGACATCTTTAATAATGACTTTCTAAGGAATATGGGGGAGGCAGGATTCTGAGAAAGCAGAAGGAGCTGACCTCTGAAGAGATCTTCATGTTGAGGAGGAGAATACTACTACTGGGAGTCTGTCCTTAAAAGGAATTCTAGCTCAGGCGACCGCTTGGTACGGGGGAGGAGAGAACTGGCAGTAATAACAAAGATGTTAATATCTCTAGCATGGAAGAACTCCCTGTAATGAACATGGCAGTGTATTCCGAAATGCCTGTTCCACCCACGGAGCCGAACAGGGGAAGAAATCACAGTGTGCTTTAGGCAAGAAGCGATCAAATCTGTTGTGCTGGAGAATTTTTATTTTCAGCACAGCACATCGGCCTAATGCTAATGGTGAGCTTTCGCACCCTCCCAAGTAGGAGATGCCACTAAGGGCAAAGAGAACGGCCAGCACAGGATCCCAAGGAAACAAGCAAGCTGTGAGCAGGAGTGTGACTGTGTTACTGAATAATGTGGATCCTACCTCCCTTAGCCACCAGTTACCATTACAGAGGGCACAGCTTCACGCTCCATTGGCAGTAGATCTGGTTTAAGTCATTCAGTCTCACTCTACTCCCACCTTCTCCCCTAGAGCCTGGATTAATACAGCTGTGCTGAATAACTGTTCCCATGGCTGTGCCCTAAGTCAGATCCATAAGATGATCCACGTTTTTTAAATGACAGGCTTCGGAGAGTTAATTTTAAACCTCATCAGTCCAATCTAGAGCCCAACCTCACAGGCAGCAGGGTACGTACCACCGAGAGGCTTGGTGTCAGAGTACAGGCAGGCCAAAAGAGAAAGAAATAGCAGCCAGTATTGCTGTTAATTCCCAAGAAACACATCATTTAAGGTGTTTGTTACTTTTCTTCCTCTTTTTTTTTTTTCTTTTTGGGGAAGACTAGATTTGGAAAAGCCTGACACATTGCCTTTATTGTTTCTGCATTCCCCCAGCCCCATCAGGAAGACCCCCACTGCCGTAATATGATGGAAACTACAATGGGTTTCCGTGGTGCCCTTGCTGCACATACTGTTACCAAAACAGGTATTTATTCTGAGTGGTAGTTCTCCTCCATAAATGGCTGAAAGCATGTCTCTTGCCTCGGAATTGGAATACCAGCCCATGGTGTGTGTTTGTGGAAGAAGCACAGCCAGGCAATGAACAGGACGGTTACACCTGCACAGTAAACAGTGCCGGGGCACCGAAGCCGAGTAGTGTTAGCCCAGGTGAACTCCTTGGCACTCCTGCTTTAATGCTGCTTCTGTTAATTTTCAAACCAGGCACGTGAAGAACCTGCTGATGGGCATTATCTGCACTCAGGAGCCTTCATATAGACGCTGCTCCTCGGCAGCGCTTGCCCCTGTGCCTTCGCTCTGTTCCCTCTCGCCCTGACAAGCCAGGACACCTCATGCTCTCTCTGTTCAGCTGTTACAAACTCCCTAGTGCAAAGCCCACAGTGTAACATTCAGCTTAACGCATGGTTCCCTTACCTGGGGGTGGGAGAGAGCTGAGAAACAACGGTCTGAGAGCATTTTCTGTCCCCACACCTTTCATATTCTCTCTTAGTCATGCACAGAGGTACAGGAGGAATGGGCAGCGGGCCAATTTGTCACCAGCCTCTTTCCAGGAAAGGCAACCAAGAATGTCGTGAGGACTTGCGTGTAACTCTGCTGCATGATCTCTCAGAGACCTGCCTTTCACATTCCAAAAGTGCCAGGTTGCCATCTAACTAGAGATGGCCCAGACCACGCACTGGTTTTGGTGTTCCTGTGCCCTAGTCTAGACGTGTAGCTCTTGCAGGGTACCCTGATGGACAGCCTTGTCCTGCTGATGGTTCTTCAGGAGGAGTTACTGAATGTGGACTACTGCGAACGATTTTACTCCCAAATACTGTACACCAATACATTATGCAGAGCAGATGACTGGGAACTGAGCAGCCAGGTTCACTCCCTGGGGCTCTATTACACACTGGTGTAGACTTAACCTAACTGATCAGCTGAGTAAGGTGATCAATATTGTTGCCACTTGATGTGTTGAAGCACGTTCCCCTTCTCTTTGCTCCTATGCTTGAATTTAGTGATTATCTGCAGGCAGCTGTTTCCCTTTTCTCCTCCAGGTTCTCACCACCAGCTGCTTCACAAACACCAGTGTCCTCCCTCATTAACTTAAACAGTTTGTCCAATATTTTGACCAGGGATTCTTTCCGGTTTTCCCATCAACCAGAACAAGTTTAATCACGAAATCAGTGTAACTGAAGTGCTCAAACAGGAAATCAGTTAAGCTTAGCTGCAAGGGCTGCTTCTTAATTGATTTGCCTGCAAGTTGAGCTTTTCACAGGAGTGCGTGGATGTCAGGTCTCCCCAGCAACACTTGGGATGCTACCTGCACCCTTCCTTTCAAATGTCTTTGCAGTAGTACAGGACTGTTACTGCTCTTCAGAAACATTTTGAAATACATTTCTCTGCATGCTGCACATGTTCGAGTGTTGAACTTTTAGACTTAATAATTCATTTGAAATCCTCTAAAACCCCATGTTGTCGGGAGCGCCGTAACTCCAGACTCATTGATATATTCCGGGACACTTAGAAATTGTTTCAGGTACAATGTGGCATCTTTGCTTAATTAAGGAGTGTCTCTCATCAGGATGACAGGCTGCCCATGGAGACCTCTTGATTACAGAGCTCTGCTGCAGTAACCTTACTTTTACCACTATTCACAAGAATCAGCCTAAGTTGCGTCTTACTGAAACTGGGGAGTGAAATTTTCCACTCAGACACCACACTGTTCTGAACAGAAGGCAGCCTCAGATCTCTCTTCTCAGAAAATTACTATATATAAATACATATTTCTATTTAAAAAACACCCCAGCAACAAACAAACCACATTTCACTCCCCCGGTACTACTTAAAACATACCTTAGGCTCCGGGTCTGCTACCCACACAAGTTCTGTCGCTCTGGTCGTCAGGTGAAAGCCGATTTGTGCATGGGACCAAGTGCTCTCCTCCTGCTCCTGGCAGCTCAGCGCAGCAAAGATGCAGGTTCCAAGTTGCCTCTGTCAGTTCTGGCTGCTGGAGGTAGATAACACAGTCTCTGTACATCGGTTGCACTGGGATGTGTGCTAGCTGTGGTTTTGTTGATTTGAGTAGTGTTTCTTTCTCAGAATTCCTGAGCACTTTGCTGACAGTTTTAGCTTAGCTCAAGGGACTGGGGTTCTGAGTTCTAAAGGAAAGCGTTCATGTACCAGGCACACACATCCTTTCTGCACACATTTAGTAGCCAAGTCCATGCATGAAAATTTGTAGGACCTGCATTTTGGACAGGTATTCCTCAAGCTTTAACTGTGCAGGCCTACCCTTCAAAGCCCAAGATTGCCAAAAAACAGAAAGGCAACTGCAGGAAGAGCTTGTATAGCTAAGGCAGTCTTCGTTTCAGTAACCTCACCCTTCTTGCAGAATCCTACTGATCTGAGGATGAGGGAGGGGTTCCAGTTGCCCTTCTTGGGTGTTCTGACGGGGAGCTGCTGTCAGCAGCAGGGCTGCTCCCTAAGGGCAGCGTACGGCCAGGAGTAGCGAGCCAGGCTGGGCTGTGCCCTCACACGCAGGGCACAACCCCACAGTGCCGGAGGCCCCTGAGCAGTTCTCTTTGGGCTGAATTCCTTTAACCCATCCGTGCCCCTACGACCTCCAGTCAGAGGCCCATCTGCAGGGACCACAAGTGTCTTTTCCGTGACTGTACACAGACATAGCGGTAACGGATAAATGCAGTGGTGCTCTGGTAGGACACAGCTGTGCACCTGTAGGAGGTAAAGCCTTTAGCATTTTGTGATAAAGTTTTACTTGATCTCCACCTTACTGGAGCGTAAAGTCCTTGCCAAAACTCGCAGTTCCACTCACGGGCCAGACCTGCGGAAACACACGTTCTGGCTTTGCTAGGAAGCAGGGAATTTTAACAGGCTAAATAAATTCATCATTTAGCAGGCTC